TGACAAGCAAAGTCAATGGGGAAGCCAGCTTCGCTTAACAATCAGGTTACTAACCTAACAACTGCAGTGATTCACCTAACAACTGTGGCAAGAAAGGTCGTAAAATGGGGCAAGATTCACTTAACTGTCTCACTTAGCAACAGAAATGTTGGGCTCAACTGTGGTCATAGGTCAAGGACTACCTGTAAATGGATAATAATTCTATTAATTATTTCCGTTGGGTGGCATCAAATTCTAATGTAAGAAATGGAATAAAATATATCCCTGCTCAGCCATGCTTTATTGTGCATCAATATATTAATCTCCCTGTGTCTTTTTCTTTCTCTAAACAGCCTTAATTGTTGCGTTCCCTCCACAGGTGGAAAGTGTTCGACTCCCTTGAGCAAAATATTGCAATTAAGATTTAGGGGTACAATGAAGGAGGGTGCTCCAACCTACTTCTTTCTTCTCCGCAGCACCAAAGCTGGAGCTCTGATTTTGGAAATTTAAGGACAAGAGATAAAAACACCAGTGTGAAATTTTACCGGAAGGCTTTGTAGACTGGCCGGAACCAACAGACATAACTACAGGGGCTGAAGAGGAGAAGCCAAAGAATTGCCAAGCCAAAATTGGAACCATATCCACCACCGATCCACCAAGCCAGACAAGCAATGAGGTTACAACTCAAGGTGATGCAGTAAACTATGGAAGGGAAAAAAAAAGAGACATTTAAAGTACTGGGAAAATCCAAGGCACTTCAAAGCAATGATGTACAATATGGAGCTTGAAAGCATAGTAGAGAAATTGGATCTCACAAAAGGGTGAAGGTTGAAGGAGTGCTAAGGAAAGCTTCTCGCAACAATATTTTGGCAATAATGCCAATCAGCCAAGGACCAGAAGTCCAATTCTCACAACAATCTTTATGACAGAGGCTGGATATGTCTTCCGTGGCAATCAACTACAGCTGAGATGATCTGCTTTGTTACCATTTTAGCAATAGCACTTAAACTTAGTGTATTTTTCAGAGTATAAGATGCACCGGAGTATAAGATGCACCAAGGTTTTGAAGAGGCAAATTAAAAAAAAGGTTTTGCACTGTGCAAACCTCCCAAAAACGGCCTGTTTTTCTTTAAAAAAAAAAAAGAAGAAGTCATGAATAGCCTTTAGGAGGCTTGTAGAGTACTCCTGGAGTGTGTGGTGGGGGCCAAAAACGAAGGGAAAAAAGGGCATAGATAGCCTTTGGGAGGCTTATAGAGTGCTCCTGGGGGCTGCGGGGCAAAATTGAGGAGAAAACGGCCCATTTGTTGCTCATTTCTGCCCTCCCCAGCCCTCAGCTCTCTGAAAGACTCCTAAAAGTTATGCACGGCCATTTTGGTGAAGGGGCGGGGTTTCGGGAGGCAAAAATGCTATATTCAGTTTATAAGACGCACCCAGATTTTCAGCCTCTTTTTTGAGGGGAAAAGGTGCGTCTTATACTCTGAAAAATATGTTATATACCACTTCATAGTGCTTTACAGCCCTCTCTAAGAAATTTACAGAGTCAGCATATTTCCCCCAACAATCTGGGTCCTCATTTTATCCACCTCGGAAGGATAGAAGGCTGAGTCGACCTTGAGCCTGGTGAGATTCGATCTGCTAAACTGGTGGCAGCTGGCAGTCAGCAGAAGTAGCCTGCAGTGCTGCACTCTAACTCATGTGGGTTTATAAAAAAAACAGTAAATATTTTTTCTATTTATATTGCTGTGTACTTGTTGTTTTAATATATTTAGATGTTGATAAGCTTGCTTGGCCACTGAGCTGATTTTCTTAGGTGTACAAATATACAGAAGAACACACTCTCAACCATCGTTGCACATTATGTTTTCTTGTTATGTGTGCGGCCGCGCAGGCGCGCAGCTTAGAGGGAACATTGTCTGCAAGCCCCACCCCACTCCACCCCACCCCCCAAGGCTATTCATGCCTTTTATTTGGAAAAAAAAAGGGGGCTGTTTTTGCGAAAAACAGGCCGGTTTTGGGAAGTTTGCAGAGTGCA